ATGACCAAATATATTAATTTAAAAGCTATAGTTAAAACTCATTCAAATTCTTTACAATAATAATGTATTTTGTGTTCAATCTTTTGTGAAAAAAAAAAAAAAAAAAACTACAAACAAAATAACCAAAAATAGGATAAACAAAAATCTATCCCAGAAGAAAGCATTTGAGTGTTAAAAGATAAAATAAAAAAAAGGGATGTAAATGGATTTATACGATAACTCGTACTTTATTTATTTCAATGCTCGATGATCCGAAAGGTAGAGAGAAAGAGAGAGAGAGAAAGAGAGAGAGAGAGAAAGAGAGAAATAGAAAGAGATAAAATAAAGATCGAACGGATAAAAATGGTAATGCGAATTAAACACGCTCGAACAAATGAATGAAAAATCTTTAACTAACTCGGTTAACCTAGAGTAGTCCCTACATTTTCACGTATTACCCCTTCGTACTTCCTGTGCAAACTAAAATCACCCTACAAGTATTTCCGAGGGGAACTAGGGTTACCCAAGGGCCAACGGAAAAAGGGGTAAGAGAAGAGATTTGAAAGAGAGTTGGAAAGGGAGGAGAAGAAGGTGGAGAGGGAAGGAGGTGGAGGAGGGACAGATTCGAGCAATTCGCTCGTATTGAAGAGAAAGAGAGAAGGAAAGAGAGAAAGAGAGAGAGAGAGAGAAAAGGGATGATCGAAATATTTGCTTCCTACTTTGGGTAGCATGAAAAGGGCCGAAACTTTGGAAAATGCGAAAGTAAAAGAAAGAAGGATTATTTGCTAAAAAGAGTAAGGACATAAAAAGAGACGAGTTAACGCGTACAAACTTCAAGAGAAAGAGAGAGAGAGAGAAAGAGAGAGAGAGAGAGAGGAAAGCATGTTCACTCATGGTTTCGGAAGGCCGACTGAATATCGATCCTCTGTGAGGAATGAAAGCATTTTCTCAAAGCTTAACCCCCGGACGAATTTACGCTTTCAGATGTCCCCTCTTTCCGAGCTTTTGATATTAACCAACTATAATAGTACTATCTCTATCCATTAGGAGTTTATCATCCTGCGTAGTGGTACTTTAAAAAAAAGAAAATTATTCTCAGTGGAAAAAAAAGTTTTAATTAAATTTTTTCATTTATTAATTTAATAATATATATACTCGTATATATATTATAATAATTATATATAATTAAATTAATAAATAATATTAATATAAATTAATATATAATTTAATATCTATTAATTTATTAAATTAATTTATTATTAATAAATAATAAAAAAATAATTTATTAATATATATATATATATAATAAATAATAAATATATATAATATTTAATTTAATAAAATAAATAAAATAAAATATAATTTTATAAATATATAAATATAATTTTAATAAATAAAAATATTAATAACTAATAATTAATAAATTAATTTAATTAATTTAATAATATATAATAATATAATATTATTACTATATACACACTGTATAATAATTTATTAATGTAAATAATCTAATTTTGTAAATATTTAACACACACACATTTATACATTAATAATTACATAATAATAACAAAAAATTCGCTTATTTTACAAACACATTCTCGAATAGATGATCGATTAATTTGTTATTTATTTGTGAAGATGAATAAATGAAATAAATAAAAAAATTCGCTAGAATAAATTTCATTTAATTCTATGTCGGTCCATAGAAAGTCATTCATCATTGTTAACATTGTCATAGTCGTAAAACACGACTGGTAACAACGTAGGACGCATAACTGTACGTCATAGTTAACCTAATTACGTCAACAAGGACCATAGGAGTCTGTGAGAGTAGATCCTATCACGTGTCCTACCATGTTTGAACCTTCCTTTTCCCCATATTCGTAGCACCCTCTTTCAAGATTACGATTGAAGAAGAAGAAGAAGAAGAAACAAAATGAGTATTTCTCTCTCTACTTCATGTTTACTTTTTTCTTCTACTTATTTTTCTTATTTTTCTGCTTCGTAGGAGGAATAGTGATAGACAAAATATATTGACTGACTCCTCGTAGATCTCTTCTATGTTGAAATATCAGTTCGTCTTTTTTCTTCGATAGGAAAACTACGAGGAGAAACGAAATTGAAATGAAAACTCTCTACAAAGTGAGTTGCGACGTTTACGAGATCTCAAAGTTTATGACTTTTTCAATACGCTCCTGGGGAAAATCATGTCGTACATATTCTATCAAGGTTACAGATCAAGATAGACATTGTGTTCTTCATTTTATTCTTCTACTATTTCTTCTATTTCTTCTATTTCTTCTTCAGGGTTCTACGACGTATCGAATGATCAAATTTCTTTCATTCGTTCTATTCCACTTTTTTTTCTTTTCTATTTCTATTATATTATCGTATAACATAATATAATATTGTACTATAACATTAATATATAATATAATGTACGAATTATATATATTATTATTATAAATAGAATTATAAATTATAATTTATATAGTTATATTATATAATATAATATAATATACTATTATATATTTAATATATAATATAATGTACGAATTATATATATTATTATTATAAATAGAATTATAAATTATAATTTATATAGTTATATTATATAATATAATATANTATAAATTATAATTTATATAGTTATATTATATAATATAATATAATATACTATTATATATTAAATTAATTTATATATATATAATTATATAATTTTATTTATTTTATAATATTAATTTTTATATTATAAATAATAATATATATTTTCAATTTTATAATTATATAATTTAATTTATATATTATAAATTATATAATTATACAATTTAATTATATATATTATATAATTTATATAAATATATAAAATATTAATATATATATATATTTTATTTATAATACAAAAATTCTAAATTCATTAAATAAGATTATTGTTCTTTTATCTTAATAATACTATCACGATACAGATAGAAAATATTTGATTCATAAATAAATTTGAAAACAACTATAATATTATCATTTTGATTCATATTACAAATATCCCATTAACTTTACGTGTTGTGAAACGATAAACTAATCCCATTTACACCATCGCTATTGTATTTTCCTTGACACTTCTCAATTCTAACTATATCCAAGATGACGAGGGGTCAAGATGAAAATCCCTTGTCCGTAATTTAATTCAAAGTTGATTCTATTCATCTGAAACAAAACCACCGAGTTGTTCGAATAATTATAGCTACAATCCGTTTCGAAGGAAAACTATCTAAAGTGAAATACATATACATATACGTAGTTAAGTTTGATTTATAATTGTATATGACGTATATTATACTTTTCATGGTGTAATTATTTTCAATGAGATTTTATCAAAAAAAAAACTCATAAATAAAATGAAAAAAAAAAGAAGATATATATATATCTTAACTCTTTTGAGTACATTTGATGAATGAGACTGGACAATTTTTTCTTATTGTTAATAAACGAAAAGAAGAACCGTACTTGACCTGATTGAAACACGAATTCCCTAGCAAAGTGTCGAAACAATTAGTTTTTTTATATTTGACTAGAGTTGAAGGTTTTATCAGAGGACCCCCCGATCGTTTCATAGACCCTAGAAAGATCGAACGATACTAGAAGAAGAGACGTCTCGTAATTTAATCTTTCCAATACACGCCCTGCACCTATATATATATATATATATATATATATATATGTGATCCTTCTTTCTCTCAAGGATCAATTTTCTCTTGCCGTCGAAGCTTGATTTATGACAACCATGGCGAAGATTGCAAAATTTTAACATATCGTACGACGTATCACGATACGGGACTGTCTCAGAAAATCTAATTAACGAGGAAAACTTTAGCAAAGTTCGTTAATCGATCACATCACCCGTTATAAAATAGAACCGCAACGTTATAATAATTACGTTATAGTAATATAGATATTTGTACTAATCGAAGATCATTTATCAAGCAGCATTAGTAACCTTGAACGGTCTCTCAAAAGTAATTAATTGACATTGGGGGGGTGGGGGGGAAGGAGTGGAAGGAAAATTCGTGCATTGAGTGTTACGAATCGTATGTCTAACAAAAAAACAAGAAGAATAAGCTGAAGAAGCTTGAAGCTTGAACGAAAAACATTTTCGAGATTTTTATACGTCAAGAAGCCAATTTGTATTTTTTGTACCAAAAAAAAAAAAAAAGATGAAACTTCTTCTTCGTTTTGAGACCATTTGAAGAACATTTTCGTTTCGAGAGGACACGAGGATAAGAGGATGTATTTGGAAATATCGATAAAACATCTATCATATTTCACGTGAAGAAACTTCCGTTTGACCATTTTTTACTAAGAAAAGATATTTCTCTTTTGAGATTTATCGTTTTACCTATGACGTTTTATAATAATATTTGATTTATCAATCGCGTTTTCTGTAATATCTAATTTATCGACATCGAGAATGAAATCTCGTGTTATCGTATTTGCCTGTTTTTATTTGTGCAATTAACATTTGATCATCTTCGTACGTTTTTTTTTTTTTTCAGTTTAGAAATAAAACCAATCTTCACATTATTTTTTTAACGAACGAGTTTTGTTTTTTTATATTAATGAAAATAATTTTAATCGAATTAATAACGAATGAAAATAATAACATTTTCGATAAGCCGTAGTGTTTTTTTTTTTTGTTTTGTTTGAACATTGATCGAGAAGTGTAAACTCGATAGAAATGTGTTGAGTAATCTAAACGCGTTATTGCAAAAGGATGGAACTGTAGAATAATTAATATTCAACGATCCGAATATGAATCTATCTGTTTTTATTTCTTTATCATTAAAACGTACAAATTTACAAAGACAAAAGGGAATATTATTGGTCAAAGTCAAAAGGAATTCTCGTATACTGTGATTCATTTCTAACGCGATCGTGCGATTAACGTCAAACGATTTTTCAAATGAATTACATTTCTTATTTTTTTATAAATTAATATAAATACTACAGACACACTTATCTCTTTATATGAATATATGTATAAATGTTTATGTAAATATTCAAAATATAAATGCATATGTTAAATCGTACGTCAATATGATTTATCAATCTCCAATATCTTTTTAATACGTTTTATTAAGTCTCAAATAATTCACAGTTTACAAAACGTATTAAATACAATAATCGGATATTTGCAAATAAATTCCATACGTTGTCTACTGTTCGTTCGAGCAAAAACATAATCTTTATCTCAACATGTGCATTTCGAAAATATTGAAATACTTTAAACAATGTTAAAAAAAAAAAGAAAAAAAGTTCAAACTTTTCCCATATCTATCGCATACCAGGAAAACTTTTTTGTTTTCTCGCATCGATTGAACACGTTCGAATACAACGGTAAAAGATAAAATAAAAACAAATTGATGAGAAAAATTCCATAATAATAATAATAATAACAATAATAATATGAAATAATTTTATAAATTATATATTGTAATGCATTCATTAAATGATAGTTTAAAGTGTCAATCAACTAAATCTGTTGCTAAAATTTTATCAATCGATATTATCGGTTCGTCAATTCACATAGAACTAAAATATTACTAAAATATTACTAGTTTTATTTTTTACAAACTTTTCTGTCAGATTTTCAACTATAAACGAAATGTTATCAAATTAATCAAGAGAAATAGTTTTGATCGTGTTGAATGAATTCTTATCAAAAATTAAAAATGTTCTTAAATGTTATCACAATTACATTCACGTATATAAAATATTTGTGTGTTTTCTCTACGTTTTCTTTCTCTTTCTTTTACTTTGTCTATGGAACACGCTTTTGCCATACCTTGAATTATTTTGTCGTACGAGTCTCAAAGGAGAAATTTTCCCTCTGCAAATACTAACATAAAAAGTAAAAAAAAAAAAAAAAAAAAAAACAGATAAAGATACGGTCTCCAAGTCACGGAAACTTTGTCTACTACAGTTATATTTTTCAAATGTAATTTCTAATGTCTTCTTAACAAAGTTTTACTTTATTTTCTTCGTATTGTATCTATTAAAAAGTTTGTTCAATTTTATCATCATTCAAAATTCATCTTAACATTAAGTAACTATTTATTGTAATGATTTGCTATTCAATCAGTTCGAAATTTTATACAATCTTTGCTTGAACTATACCACACAATTGTGTTTTTTTCGCTATTTACAAATTCATAAAATCAGCTTGAAAAAATGTTGAGAAATATTAAAACATTTTGTTGGAAGTAGTTGGCAATGACAATGCAAATTAGAAAAGGTAAACACCTTAGTGATTATTTTCTTTCACGAATTCTTCTCAATAGTTTTTTATTCAGTTTTCAAAAACTGACGTGTTGTATAATTGTTTTTAAAAAATTCATTTCACATGTGATTGAAATCACAAAATCGAAGTACACTTTGTTACGTCCTTAAATATGAAAACGTGTCGATCCTTGTCGACTTTTAACATAAACAACAAATCTTAAGCTTTAAAATCAACTTAAAATCTGAAAGGAAAATCGATTGAAAGGAACACTCGAAACATTTTATTTTCTCATTCCATTTTCACTCTTCAACCTAAAGGACAATAAATATTTTATGAAAGAAAACCAAATGAAAAAGTTGTTAATTTTCATGTAAAGTATCGGTTAGTTTCAATGATTTACATCTCAATAACAAGAAACACGTAGAAAATCTTTTCTAAAATGTTGTTTCATATCAACAAGGTTTATTTCTGTATCTAAATTACATTCTACAAAATTATTATTAACTTTATATAAGAATGGAACAATTCTCGACAGTTATCAAAGTCATTCGTTAGGTTATAATCTTGAATGGTCTCGTTGTGAGAATCTCAAGACTCTACTTCATTAATGGCAGATGCGATCACGTAACGCGGGATTATCTTCGTAGAAGACGGCACACGACGCAGCTGGGGAATTAATTAAAACGCACGTACCCGGAGGCTATCGGGTGGCCTTCTTCGAGTCGTGTCCTACGGGCCGTGTCCTCCGGGCCGTGACCTCCGGGCCGTGGCCTCCGGTACGCGAATAGACGATAGGATCGATTGCGTTACATTTGCTGTTAACTTCGTTTCATTTACACACTTCATTTTCCTTGTTCATGTCCTTCAATCTCCTATTACAATACATCGAATTTTTTATTGTTTTTAATATCCGTGCCAAATGAAAAATAAATCTTTCCTAATATCTTTCTGATCAATTTCCTTCATCAATTGTAAATTTATAATCTCTTGTTTTGGGAAATATGAATTTGGATTTTATTGATTTCGCAGGAACCATGGAAATTGTTTAGAGCATCGTTGCGGTATAAGATAACAAAAAATATACCGTGACGAAGCACACGCATGCTATTTTTCTTTTTACAGATTTCCAAGGGCAACATGATCGCTCGGAACTGCTTCCAAAGTGCCATTTGCAGAATATCGCGCGATATCGAGCTTTCCATCGGATCGAGACCCGATGCCTTCCACGTATCGTACGCGATGTGTATCAGTAGTGTCTAAGAACAGTGACAAACAATATTTTGTGCTTAGAGAAGTAATAGTCATCGGACGATTGAAGATAATAGTGATTAACGATGATGCCAGATGGACACGTTGGTGGATATGGGGAAGCACCATGAAAAAAAAGTACATTCATGTGAATCGATTGAAATACGAAAACGTTGTGTTGCATTTTGAACAACTTACTTCGAGCTAATTTCAGAAAGGGACAGGGACAAAATAAAGAAAATTAACGATAGGTTGCCTGAGGAGATTATGCATCGCGAAAATTATGTAAGCTTAGGGATCGAGGGTAAAGTTGGATAAAAAAAATTTCAAGGAAGAAAAAAAACAAAGGAAGATAAGAAAATAAAATAAATATAAAAAAAAAATAAAAGAAAAAGATCAAAATCAAAAATGGAATCGACAAAGTTAGGTGGAGCTGCGCCAACCAGCCCGAGAGCGCACTCACCTGCTTTACCGAGCTACTGTACCAACTCAGACGGTAACATTGATTACATCATCGGTGATTATATGGAGAGATTGGGTACTAGGCTTAACATTCTTGAGACCGAATTGAAATACGCGTGGAGGGCACTGGATTTACTTAGTCAGGAGTATATCAAAATGTGGGAGAGATTAGAAAAATTGGAAGGGCTTTTGTACGAGCAACAGACGGTGATCAGTCAATTGATAGAATTCTACACGAACGGTAGTGGTCAAGAAAACGGTACTGGGGTAGTCGAAGAAGCGAGATTGGTTGACGAGCAAGATTCGGTCGGTGAATTGGACGCGATTGCAAAAAGTTTGAACGCAGCCATAGGAATGGAGGAGACAAGTGCTTTGAGGGAGAAATTAACGCAACAGGAATTGGTGAGAATGCATGGTGGACTAACGCAGGACAGCGTGACCGCGAATGCCGTGGTTACGGACATGCACAGGAATGTGAGAAATTTGGAGACTCTCGAGACGTTAGAGGAGGAGGGTAACATACCGGACGAGGCCTTCTATCGTAGTCTCAACAATGCCTACAGAGAGGATTTGATCTGTGGGGATACTTCTAGGCCTACCTCGCAACTCGGTATGATCTGGGAGGAAGCCGAGGATGAGGATATTAATGGTAAGAAAGAAAACGAGATCGCTTATTACGAAAAGAGTTCACCGAAAGAAAAGAAAACGGAGGAAACGTCTGTGCAACAAAGTAAAGAAGAGATTAAAGCATCGGTTACAAAGAAAGAAGATGAAGCCGATGAAGACGAGGGTGAAGTATTTAGCGCGGCCGATTACAAAAGCTATCGAGGTAATACACCTTGCGTCAGTGAACAAGATCTTGCTCAATTATCTAGGCTGAGTTCGATCGACCAAGTTGCTTTGGAGAAGCTTCACGAGCTCGATAGATTGACCAGCAAATTGCAAAAGGATTCTCAAAATCTCATTGAACTGCAATCGCGATTGATAGAATCACCTAAACGCCGATACTCATCAGAAGCCGAGGCTAAGTTGGCCGAAGAAGCGAGTAGCATAGACGAACAATTGAGAAAGATTTATGCGGAAACGGACGTCGATAGTTGGACCTTTTCGAAGAGTCCCGGATCAACGGGCAGATCTTTGTCGAGGGTTAGCACCGATAGTGGATTAGCGACTGACGGTGACTTTACCGCAAGATCCATCTCACCGAGATTGAGTTCCACTTCTAGGAGCAATCTGGATTCTATTTCGAACACTTACACGCCTCCTAGATTGGGATACACTTCGGCCGTTCTAGAGAAGAGTCCCGAACCAGTTATTCAGTTGTCTATCGACGTTGGTAACTTTGCCAAAGGGTATGCGGAGAATAAAGAGCTGACCGATTTAATGGCCGAAAGTTTCGCGGCGGTGACTTGTGCCTCGCCCACCATTTACAGTACCACTACTGACAAGGCTCCATCGCCGACGCTCTCGGTTGGTAGCGTACACAGCGTTCACAGCGTTCACAGTGTCCACAGCGTCCACAGCGTCCAAAGTATCCGAACTAGGCAAGACGGTTATTTCGGTAGCGCTGCTCGATTAAACTTGGACTTTCAAGAAAGTAGAACTCCGCCGAGTCCATCACCGAGTTCACCACCGCCTCCGGCGCCGCGAGATTCGACCGAATCCTTCCTAATGCCTACTGCGACGGAGGAGAGAGAGACCGAGACGAAAAGACCCCAAAGTCCTGGAAGTTTCTTGAGGAATGCCGAAAAATTGGTATCTCTCGATCAAGGTAGACTCAGCCCGCGTACTCCTCATTCTCCTAAATCTCCAAGAGTATCGCCCAAGCATATAACGAAAACGGTTAATGCGGCCAACATTGTTGCTACTAAATCCGATTCTGGTCTATCTTCGATGAGCGGATGGAGCAGCTTGGATAAGTCGCCGAGTTCTCCAAAAAGTTCGATCGGTAAAGCTTTGACTTCCTATTCAGTCGATCACACGAGAACGACACTAACAGCCTCCTCGTCCGTACAACCAGCGAGAACTTCTAGTCCGATACCACCTCTTCCGGAAAGCACAAGCACCGCCGTAATCACACAAGAGCCTCTTTACGACACTCCGGAAGGTAGAGATGCTTTCGCCACAGCTGCAGCCCCCGTAACTGCTCATTCCTCTTATTCGACGACGACGATTAACCACTTGCCCTATACTTACGCGTCATCGATAAAATCACCGGCAGCAGCGGCGGCCACCAAGGACGATTACAATTTAGTTCCACCACCGGCGCCAGGCACCTCCACCTGTCAAAGTCCAAAAAAACGAACCCGTCAACAAACAGCTCTTCAACATTCCCTTCAGCATTCTCTTCAACATGGCCTTCAGCATGCTTACGATTCCGTACCCTCGGCTACCGTTATGGATTATGTTTATAGATCGGAACAACCCGCCATTTATTCCGTAGCCGGCAGTAATCGTCAACAAGCCATAACGAGCGTCTATACTAGTGGCTCCGGGAATTATGGCTTTAAAGTAACGGGCTATTATCCGGATGCCGTCGGTCAATACGCTGGATATCAAGAAAGTTACAACGCTCTGCAGTATCCCGAAACAAGCGGAATGACTGGCCATATAAAGAAACCATTAAGAGGTTCCTACGCCGTGGATGCGACGAGCAACCAAGAGGGATACAAGGCAGCGATGTATCGTACCATGTTTCCCACAGGAAACATCACAGATGCTTTGTCATATTATCCGACCAGCGCAAGTTTACCGCGCACAGAGAACAACGAAAGTTCCTGGATAAATTCGATGGAAGAACAAATTCCCCATGATTCGACTTCATCCAGTATCAGATCTCTTACCTCAGATGGTAGTTACGCTCAAAGTCCTTACACGGATCGAAGGTATCCACAACCACCGGCCTATCAAGCGCAACAACAGTATCATCATACTTACGCTAATCAAAGTTATCCGCAAGTAGTTGGTTATCAGCAACAACAGTATCAACCTTACGGGCAAAGACTGTTGAGCGGCACTGAATGCGCACAACTTTCAGACGGCTATCAGAGACAATGGCAACGAGAGCACCAATACATCCAGGAACACGAAAATGCAAGAATACCAATAGAGCAACAGCAGCAACAACAACAACAACAGCAGCAGCAACAGCAACAGCCGAGTGAATATTACGACGCCTCAAACGTAATAGTATCTCAGTCCGGTTACATAAGTATTTCTTCGAATTTGAAAGATCACGAGGTCGATGGCACAAAATTAACAAAGAAAATTCGACGTGGTACTTCTTTAAAAAACGCGATGAGCTCTATGAGCAATTGGTTGCCTGATCTTCATCTGAGCAAAAGACACCGAAGTCAATCTTTACCTGGTGGAGTCCGAAGAGAAGATCTAGACGGATCTCAGGAGAATCAACAAAAAATTCCAGCCGAAATAAACGCTGCTAGAGGCCGAGGCAGAACGCAGGCACCGAGGAAAAAGAAAAAGCACACTCTGGTATCGACCGTTTCTGGTATTCTTCAAAAGGCTAAACGGCGAACTCATCATTCGCAATCGCTATCGGATCCTGAACAATCGGAGACCGAATGGAGCAGTGGTAGACAAAGCGGACTTTCAGAGGACGAAGACAGTGCGATGTCCGACGTTAATCAAGAATTACCATTTTTTGCAAAAGTAAAAACATCTAGTACAAAACGAAAACCATCGCAACAAACGATTACGGTACAACAGCAGCAACAACAACAACAACAGCAACAACAATCGGCTCAACAAATGATGCAGCAGCAGCAGCAGCAACAAGCTTTGCAACAGCAACAAGTTCTGCAACAGCAACAAGCTCTGCAACAGCAACAAGTTTTGCAGCAGCAACAAGTTCTACAGCAGCAACAAGTTCAACAGCAGCAACAAGTTTTACAACAGCAACAGCAACAGCAGCAAACTTTACAACAGCAGCAAGCTTTGCAACAACAAAACCTTCAGCAACAGCAACAGCAACAAGCTTTGCATCAACAAATTCAACAACACCAAGAACAATTGCAACAACAAGCAGCGCAAGATGGTTGGGTGAAGGAGAAGGAACAAAGAAGGGCTGATTCGATCGAACACGAAACGATCGAGCAAGCTATGGCCATGGAGGAGGAGGGTAAGAGTACTGGCTCGGGATCGGGTGGATCGTCAATTTTTCAAACAGTCGGCGATATAAAACGATCGACAGGTAGCTCGGACGAAGCACCCAACGAAAAAACGCCTAAAATTCCACCGGTAACCATGATGGGCGGTGCTAGCATGGAATTTGCGGTATCGAGAGCACTTGGCAAATATCGTCAGCGACAATCATCGACGGTGTCGGACGAGCAACCGCCGATGGACGAAAACGCGAGTGAAAAGAAATCGGACGAGGGGACTAATGGACAATCGTTGGAGCCGAGTTTCGAATATCCCGAAGATCTTTCGGAAAAAAGCGAGAAAAGCGAAAAATCGGGCAGTGCGCGTTTACCCGAATTGGTGACGAGTTTATCGGAAGAAGCACCACCGTCGGAAGGTAGTCCCTCGACATCTAGCACAAGAGGATTCATTCAAAGTGCTCCTACCCGATTTCTACCTCGTCATCAACAATCCCTCGAAATACCTTGGGGAGGTGGTCGTTCCGCCGAGGACGAAGACAACAGAAGCACACACTCATACAGAAGTACCTCAAGAGTATCATCGAGACGACAGAGCACCGAGGACTCGATCGATTCCGAGGACGAGTGGTATTGTTACGAATTGCGTAAACTCGAGGAACTAGAAATGCAAACGCAAATGGATATGGAAATGAGCGAGGTTTTGGTGGAGGAAGCCGAAGAACGAGAACCCTATCAACCGGACGATACCGTTAAAGAAAGAATGTCTTGCGTACTGAAAGAACTCAAAATGAAAGCTGTTGCTAGGCCTAAAATCGAACTTAAAGAAGATAAAGATAATTTACGAGCTAGCAAAATGAACGGTACGGTTAGCAAGGAACGTCGCACCGAGGAAGCCGTTGAAAGATATCCGAGAGACGAGAGACCCATTCCTAAAAGGAAATTTGCCGAAAGTATAGAATCTGTGTTCGCTCGAGTGACCGATTATCATACTTGGGCTCACGAAGAGGAAGCGAAAAAGGAGAGAGCAGTACCGTCTCCGAGAATCGAGGACGGTTCCTCTTCGGGTGAGACATCCGGTCCGGATAGTCCTGGACGATCGATCGACGAAGACGAGATCGAAGAGGAGGAGGAGGAGGAGGAGGAGGAAGAGGAAGAGGCAGAAAGAGATAAGGTTCAGGAAGAAAATCAGGTGGAAATAATGGGCATGGACGAGGAGAAGGACCAACATGAAAGAGAACTATTGTCCAGGGAACTCGATGAAGAACAATTCAGACGAAAAAGCAGTGGTGGTGGCAGCACCACCATGCGACTAGATGGCGAAACCATGAAAGAAGTTATCGGAGTTGCCGAGACAGATACAAATCTAAGCCTACCCAAGATCAAAATTGATTCCTCTTCTTGCGCTGGTACTGCCGAAAGCGCACTCTTGAAAGAAGGCCAGGTTAGTCCTGGTCCACCTGGCTCCAAATGGAAACTCATAAAAACGTTAAAGGAACGTAAGGAGGAGAAACTCAAGGAGATCGAAGAAGCTTCCAAAGAAGCTGCGACCATTCCTCAGGGACCCACGGCGGTGAGTATTATGATCAAGTGAGGACACGAAAATCTCTGTAAAGCGTACTCGAGATTCGGTAGTTGGGTCAAGTCCTAATCTTTTTCTTCGTACCTATGGAAACTTTACTTTATCAAGTTTAGTTTTCCAACTAACAATCAGATCTCAACCATATTATACCATAAGAATGAACAACAACAAAATATAACCAAACAAAAAAAAAACATAAACGAGCTTATAAGAACCAACAAACACTTTTTATACTCTCTATACTTCCGTCAATGTAAAAGAAAATAAAAAGAAAAAAAAAAAATACAAAAACCAAGAAAAAAAATGAAAGAACAAAGCGCGGTACTCCTCCCGTAAAGATCATTTCTAACTATAATATCTTCAACTATATTCAACTAATTCGAATTTGGGTTAATTCGAGGGACACAGCAGTAATTGTGAGTACCATTTTCGTATTCGTTTATACCAAAGTACTTACACTTTTCAAACATTTTTCGATTGTTCGTTTTTTCGCGTATTTGGTATTAACTGCGCGAGGCATTTTATCTACCTCGAGTATCGAGTACGCTGCAAATCCTTAAAAAGGATATAATAATTTAGACGATAAGAATGATTTACGAGTTTAAGGCTTTATCATAAGGCCGCGTCATAGAACTGTTCTCTGATGACGTGAGCGTAATCCAGTCAATACACTTATTGTTAATGATTACAATATGCGAGTGTCAAGCTTTGCTGTCCGTTAACCTTAAAATAGGTAAAGATTATTATACCGTCAACCAGCGTGAAAGAAATTATGTCAAACAAACAAATAATGAAGCCATATATCGTACTACTAATTACGCATCTATCTTTGTCAATTCGAATGTAACACCATTATAACGCTTGTCTAGAAACATATTCTTAAGAAGATAAGAAATGAAAATTAAATCATCATCGTTGGATACCCAACTAGAGGATATTCAGAATAGATGAATCATCATCAGAGTCACACTCGCCGAAAAAAAAGCATCGCACGAGGAAACTCAGCTAACACGTATATCTTATAATTAGTGATTATTTAGATGGTGCTTTACTAATTGATAAGCTTTTAAGGTATTAATATTAAAGAGGAAGAAGAACCACACAAAAAATGGAAAAAGTACGGAATGCCTGCGCGATATGCATTGCAATACGAAAAAGATATGATCCAATAAAACCACTAAAGAGAGAGAGAGGGAGAGAGAGAGAAAGAGAAATTCATATATCTATTGCAATCACGTTAAAAAGGTGTCCGACAAAAAATCTCTGATATTGGCTAAACGCGACAAAAGCTTAACGTATCGTATACATATATACATATATATACGAGTATATATATATTACTCGCATGACTGTTCATAATAGTATTAGTTCCTATATAGTATTTCGAGACTACTTTACGGCTTAAACGGTGAATACCTGGAACGAATAACTTTTACAGAACTCGTACAGGTGTATTTAAATTCTAATATAAAAGATATTGATATTTTGTGGCCTACTACCACTTAATCTAAATTCGATAACTTTCGAAGCGTCCAAAATAACGAAATAATCGTTTAAGTGTTTCATTGTATTATAGACAAACAAATCATCTAATTATATGCAACATTACGCGTCATATCTAATTCTCAATATCTATTTATAGATATCATCAAGAAATCAAAGATAGTTTAGATTAATCATCTCCTAAACGAACTTCAAGCCAATCTTGAACAAAAATACGTATACGATGTCAAACCCCGTTCTCTATTTAAATCGGTAACTTGATACACGTCATGGTAATATTAAAAAAAAAAGCACCCACACACATACAAAGAAAAGAAAATAAGGAAAGAAATGAATTTTCATAAATGTAAATCGCGCAGGCACGACATTACTAAAAAAAAAACGTCATTTCATGCACATCGCACGTTCGTTTAAAATAACGCACACGTATGTATAATGCATAACCTTATGTATACGTATGCGTACTTGATAAATATCGTAGTTTACTTTAAAGGTAAAAATAAAAAGGTTCAAGACGCCTAACCATTTGCAACTATACTCTGAAAGATATCCAACGACGATCAAACGAAACTAAACTAAACTAAACTAAACGAAATGAAATGAAATGAAATGAAATGAAACAAATCGTTCATCGATTTTCGTAGCAACCCATAAAAGGAGTAATCGTTTGATTCCACTTCCATTGGTTAATTCCACGTATGTACGCCGAAAGTTCTATCCTTAATGGAACGTGACTCATAAAAGCGAATTTACAACAAAATTCTATATACATGTGTATGTTGAAATGAAAAAACAGGATCAGAATATAATATTTAAAGGAAGAAAAAGTAAAATAATATTCGAGGATACATATTTACAATAGTATTAATAAAAGCGTAGTAGAGTTTATTAAGGAAGTTTTGATTCATCTATGTGTACGTAGACATACTATATATAAAACGTACAAAACGATGAATCTAATTACTATTTGACTACTACTTATGGACGGTGGTAGAAAGAAGGAAACAACACGTATGGACAATTTTCCCCCATGACTAAACGAAACACACACACACACACACAGAGACATACATACACGCAGAACGATGTACAACATCGTCGTCAACTTTGTCCAAAAACTTTAATGAAATATCCACGATTATGATTAGTCTTGTTTCGTTTAACGAAACTATAAAGTTTGCGAAATATTTCTAGTTGAATATTTCGAAAAAAAAATGAAAAAATACAACCACGACCAAGGACGAATTCGGCGCACATTTTACCATGCCTTCCTTCCTTCCTTCCTTCCGCGTTATCGCGTATTCCGTTTTTATCGAAGACGATGAAAGAAAGAAAGAAAGAAAAAAAAAAGAAGAAAAAACACTGGGATACTCATCATCGATCGCTTATTTAACATTTGCATTATTTTTCTTCCACTCGTTTTTCTCGACCCAGACATTACGAATATTTTTATCGCGTCCTACTCGTATTTTTAGCGATTCTCATTTAACGATAGGGGGAAAAAAAAAAAATAAAGAAAATCGCGATAACGATGATATTAGCTTTATTTTTCTATCGTCTAATTTTTGTCAAAACAAATTTCTTACGAAAAAATTAATTACGTAATTTTTTATTGTTTTTTTATTTGTTTTTATTTTTGTTTTCCATTAAACGAATTAAAAGAAAAAGTACCCTTAACACGCGCGCGCGATTATATGTATATGTATACGCGACTATACGCTATACACACACACACACACACTTATACACATACACTTCATGATGTACACGTCCAGTATTTATATGCTTCCGTATTTATAGACTTGTGTATAAGTCAATCGTATTATCTCTAATCGAGTCTAGTGAAGTAATAAATGTGCATAAACATTGGTGTTTTAGATTTAGGCGGTTTCGGGGTTTCATCGCGTATTTCGATACGATCAACGATATCAAGAATGAAATTCTCTTAACGATGAACCTGGCAAAAAGAAAGAAAAAAAAAATCTTTTTTTTTTTTAGGTGCTCTTAAGAGCGTGGAAAAGGAAACTATGTCAATTGGAAAATAATAAAAGGTTGAGATGAAAAAAAAAAAAAAAAAACAAAGAAAATACGTTAGAGATAGTAGATGGAAGAATAATAATTGGAAATGAACGATAAAGGTGAAAATTGAGCACCGAATATGAGAAAAGGCAATATTTCTCATAAAAATATAAATTAAAACTAAGCGATAAGAATTAAAAGGTCCCGTGAGAGAGAGAGAGAGAGAGATATGTCCGTTCTTAAGGAATATTAATTCCAATTTTGCTTACACTTCTTTCGAAATCCAACATCAAAGAGGATTTCTATAAATTGCAATTAAATCCCCAGCTCGAGATGAACGAAAATAAATTTCGTGCAAATAAAAGAGACAAAAAATCAATTAAATTAACGATGAATTGCAATAAAAATTTTTTATGTTTACGATTCGTCCTATTTGCGTCCTCGTTTCGAGAGAGAGAGAGAGAGAGAAGAGATAAATTGTAATTTTTTGTTGTTGTTTAAATAATAATTATACAATAAGAAGAGTTTGTTCATCAATATTCATCGAAATCGTTTTACACTCTTGTTATTATTATTTTTTTTTTTTTTTTTTTTTACAAAGATCAATATTATTTAATCTACAGAACGATGGCGTATCTTGTACGATGAAATTTTGTTGTTATTGTTATTGTTGTTGTTGTTGTTGTTTATTCAAAACACAAACTAACTTCTCTCGTTCTTTCACTCGCTCGTTCGCTCTCGATCATTATTTTTCCGTTCAGTGAAAACTTTTCGAATCGTTTCGTGTCGTATCGTTTCGAGAGAATCGTGCAATATCTGCAACGAATCGCGTAAGGTCAGCTGGTCGCTTTATCGGTTTTTATTATCGAAGAAAAACGTAATTATCTGAATCGGTTAACCAGTTTTCTTTTCTAATCTACCACACCGAAATATATATACATATATATATATATATATATACATATTTTTTCTTCTAAAGCTATAACTTTGTTTAAGCTGCATAAATTTGCAAATATAATTAAATTTCTGAGAAAGTTAAAGAAAAGAAAAATATGTCAGAAAAATTTGCTAACGATGTAATCTATTCGAACGAAGAAAATTATTCCTTTTTTTTTTTTTTTTTTTTTTGAAAGAGAGGAAACAAAAAAACTAACGCTCGTTACTTTGAATTTGTAACGATGCGAAATGTAAAACTTTCAAACGTTCCCTTCCACCCTCTTCTTATCTTACGAACCATTAATAAAAATTTCAAATTAAATTCAAATCATTTTAATCGACACGCAAATTTTGATTTATTTCAACAGAAAAAAAAAATTGATTTAAAAATCAAACAAAATTTGAAATAAAGGAAGGATAAAGAAAAAGTATTAAAAAAATTTTACTCGCGAATGAATAACGAGATAAAAAATGAATTTTAATTGAAGACATCTACACACATACACACATACACTATACTTTCGTAAGATTTTTTTCTTCAAAACTGTCTCAAGAGAGATTTGAATAAAAAAGAATAAAAAAAACAACAACTTTGTTCGTTTCTCGGTGTTCCGTGATTTCGCATAAATCGAACGTGTCGTTGAAAATTATTTTCGTTGTACATTAACGGGTTGTACAAGGATAGAAAAGATAATAGAGAGAGAGAGAGAGAGAGAGAGAGAGAGAGAGAGATAGAGCGAGAGAAAGAGATACAGGAAAGAAGTGGTGAGTCAAAAAAAAAAAAAAAAGAAGAAAAAAAAGGGCTGGTGGTGGACACGAACGAGACGTAATACGATTTACTCTCGAGTGATCCTCGAAACGAGGCCGCAGTAAAACTCCAGACCAATTCTGTGTACTATTTCTCACTTTTAT